CAGGGATATGTCCACTCAGAGGTATGTCCACCCAGGGATATGTCCACAGGCTGGCACACCCAGGACCTACCATAGCTTTCACAGATGAGCTCCTTGTACTTCCTGCCAGTGTTTGCAATAATCTGAAGTAGTTTGATGGATTCCTTTTTGTCCTCTTCCTTGATCTTCTCTAGACCAAGTATTTCCAAGAGCGTTAGAACACCTCCAATCTCAAGAAATTCTATCAGGTACCGATTGCTGTCCAGGGTGTGACCACACAGAAAGGACACTTGAAGAGTTCCTTAGCACAGAACTGAGGGCAGCCAAGGCCAAGGTACAGTCTTTACACACTTGCCTTAACTCAGGAGATATCCACAGATAGAGACAAAATTGTTTGGATTTAAAAATTTTAATATATATTTAAATATATTAAATATGTAATATATTAATATAATATATACATACATATATATGTTTAGATTACATCTCACCACATTGCTTTGAACTTGCTATCCCGCCTCAGCCTCTGAGACACTGAGGTTACAGGCAGGTGCTGCTATGCCCAGCCAAGAAAACACTGGAACCAAGTTCAGCAGGCATTCTTGTTTTTGTCTGTTCTAGTCTCTGTGTCCCGCCTTTTCTGTTTTTTGGCAGGGTGTCATTACATAGACTAGCACTGCTGTATGGATCAGGCTGGCTTTGACCTTGCAGTGATCTCTTGCCTCTGCTTCCTGACTACTGGGATTACAAGTATGCGCTCCCACAGCTGGCTAGCCCCCCTCCCTCCCCTCTCCTCTCCCTTCCCCTCCTCTCCCCTCCCCTTCCTTTCTTTCCAGTCCCCTTCTTTCCATAACTTGGCACTTTAACTGTCCCTTGGTGAATCCTTCACTTGAGAGCCATGTGCACTTTGTGGGACAAGCATGTGCCAGGGATGTCATCCTTTTGACTGCAGAAGGCCACTTTGGGCTAGGTAGGTGACCTACGCTGGTTCATAGAGGAGCCCATGGGGACAGACACTCTCTCCTGGTGTGACTGAGCGCTAAGGATGGTTTTTGGAGGGCCTAAGGACCCCAGCACACAGGAGCCTCTGAATACAGGGACCGACTGAGGAAAGGAGGAAAAGAGGAATAGAGAGATCAAACACCGGTGACAGTCGTAAAACCCCTGGGTCCGATCAGGCCTGAAATATATGTATCCGCCCTCTGGGCCTTTTCAGCTAAGTGAGCCAATAAATTGCCCTTTCCCAAGTCTAGTAAAAATGTATTTTTATATTTATATTTTTTATGACTCTCAACCAACATGGTGCTGACCATGAGTGAAGGGTCAGTGGGCAATGGGATGGAGGCTCAACTAGAGCGGAATCCCAGTCGCCTCTGGCCATTCTCCAGGGCTTTGACATACCTGCTGGCACCTAGAACCATGGCCCCAAGTGGCCTGAATACCAAGGACACCATGAGCTGACCTGACAGCTGAGACCCAGAGTCTCTCTGGGGTTGGACTTACCTGCTCACAGCAGATAAGAAGATGCCAATGGACCGCAGGATCTTCTCTAAATCCAAGCCAGTCATGTATCTGTGGCAGCGTTAAAGAGCGCTTCCAGGTGGTTTCCCATTTAGATTGATCCCTAGTACTGCCCAGGGCCAGGGTGACAGTGTGGTGACCTGTGCCCTTCACCCTGAGAGGAACCCTGGCCATAAGGGTAGAGCTAGTATAGTGTGTGTGTGTGCATCTATGTGTACATCTGTGTCTGTGTATCTGTGTGTATATATGTATTTGTCTATATCTCTTTCTGTGTGTATGTGTGTGTGTGTATGTGTTTATTTGTGTGTGTGTGTGTGTGCATCTGTGTCTATGTGTCTGTATCTGTGTGTGTATATGTATGTGTCTATATATCTATGTGTGTGCATCTGTGTCTCTGTGTGTATATGTATGTGTGTGTGTCTCTTTCTCTGTGTATATATCTGTGTGTATCTCTCTCTATATATATCTATATCTATATCTATATCTATCTATCTATCTATCTATCTATCTATCTATATCTATATCTATATCTATATCTATATCTATATCTATATCTATATCTATCTATCTATCTATCTATCTATCTATCTATCTATCTATATAT